TTCTCACTGCTCCACTTCACATGTGTGCAGTGTGCTCACTTGTTCACAGAGCCAATCTAATCATACATGTGAGTCTGACAGTTCGAGATGTACTTTCTGCTTACATCTATATGACACCTCCCTAGAGTAGGAGACATCTCACGATTGTATGAAGGCAGCATCACACAGATTGCACTTATACTGTTTCTCTCCCGTGAGTTCTCATGTGTCTTGTCAGATGACTCGATTGTGTGAAGGTAGCATCACACAGTTCGCACTTATAATGGTTTCACTCACGTGTGAGTTCTCATGTGTGTCTTCAGATTACCCGATTGTGCAAAGGTAGCATCACACAGATCGCACCTTACACATGAGAACTCACACGGGAGAGAAACCGTATCCTTCACACTACTCAGCGCTGAGAAGGCAGCATCACACAGATCGCACTTATACGGTTTCTCTCCCGTGTGTGTTCTCATGTGTTTCTTCTTACTACTCATCTCTGAGAAGGCAGCATCACACAGATAATGATATAGGTGATGATGATAATGACGACCATGACGACGATGGTAATGTCGATGACGATGATGACAATGATAATTCACAATAAACTATTATTCTCTGTTCGCTTCCCTTTTTATATGAGTTCTCTGTAATCTTCTCAGTTCTCTTCCCTTCTTTTCTATATGTGTTTTATCTAATCTTTTTTATTCTCTTCCCTAATCACAAATATATAAACCGCTTGATAACGAATTAAAAACTACTAATATTTTCCTACGCAAGTTTACTATGATGTTGTTATACCTAATTGTATTTTGACAACAGCAATTAAAAACAGCAAACAGTGAGTAACTGTCTCGTGTCTCAATTGCAAATATATTATATTAATATAAATTCGATTCATGTTGCGAATATAAATTGCTTTGATGAATGTTGACTCATATTATGTCTAACACAAAAATGAATTTTTATAGGCAGAGATGGCCGTATGACCCTCCGCGCATCGTAAATGGGACTCGTCGATCTTTAATAACAATATTTTAGAACGAAGTATTGCTTGCAGCTCACAAGTTAGTTCAGTCCACACTATAGGGCTTTCCGACCATTTCTGTCTCACCCTGTCTCTTGTTCAGAAGTATATCAGTTGAATTATTTAGATCCTGCATGAATGTTTTTTACTCTACGCTCCACCAAATGCCGTCTTTACACCTTAGTTGCAGTTCCACCATTTGCTGGTCATTGCATGCAACATTACAGCAGTCCGTTTGCTCGCAGAAACGCGATTGTACCGGGCACGTCAAAACAGTTTTCAACCAATCGCATCCATGTCATTGCTGTGCAATGACGATTGCTATACTTATAATAAATACGTACTTTTGCGAAAGAAAATTGCCGCATGTTCGTGAGATTTTTCCTAAAAATGTCAATTTCAACGTTGTAGAACAAAGCAACTTTCACGCAGAACCTCAAGAAGCATATTCATAATAACATGGCGCATTTTCTATACAATGTATATTCAGAAGACATTAACAACATAAAATCATAGAATCTTTCCAACTGTTTTTCTCAAAATATAATTTAACCCCTTCATATTTTGTTATACTCTGTTATATTCTAAGATTTAAGTAATTATATGTTTCGGGATTTTCTCTCCAAGTTGTCCCTAGGCGTTTTCCCCTGAGCAACGCCGGGTACAACAACACAACAAGTAAGGTATGCACGAGAGAGATGTCACGCCAGAATATCAAATGAGAAACATGAACATTCTATTTAGTGAGGTTTTTAAATACGTCTTTGCACATTATGTTAGTTGACGTTATACACTATATTCAACTGTGTCAGTTGTGATCTGATATGCTAGTTGTAAAAGACTGACGAACTAGAATTTCTTCTTCGCAAGCGAAATCTACATCGTCACTTACTGTCAACGGAATCTACAGTGTATAACGACACCGTGCAATCGATGGGTCTATAATAGCATATTATACAATGAAAATGTAACGCTTTGATGTATGAACTAATTTTAAGTCGATATGGAAGACTAGGTGGCGTACCAACAGCCGAGCGAGCTGTTATGAGTGAGATGCGATATCCTTATCATAATAGCCATCTCTCAATCGGCCATGAGATGGTTTAAAACACTCTCATACACCCGGACCTTAATTACTTACGCAGTTGTAAAATATGGTTTGTATAGGTGTCGCCAAGCATTGTTTAATATACATGAAATGAGATGCATTAGAAAAGGGTTGCATGGTGCTGTCAGGTGCTCAGAGTTGAAGAAGTCAGAGATGCGGGATTGCTTGGTGTGCGTAAGAACATTATGTATACGGTGATTTGTTGTTAGTGATTGTTGACAAGGCTGGTTAGTTCTGCTTTGATAGAAATAACAGTCAGCACCCCTGCACGGTAAGGATGCCACTTAAGTACCAAGCCCGCGAAAGACGAGTTTTACAGCAATGATTGTGGGCGTGGTGTGTTGCTGCTGTTGTAATTAATTAGTGGAAGCGACCAGCGTGTGTCTTGGTTTCAGACCGGTTACAAGGCTGTCAGGATATCAGACCGGTTTCAAATCGCATGTATGAAAAATGCTGTGCAATGACGATTGCTATACTTATAATAAATAAGTACTTTTGCGAAAGAAAATTGCCGCATGTTCGTGAGATTTTTCCCGAAAATGTCCATTTCAACGTTGTAGAACTAACCAACTTTAACGCAGAACTTCAAGAAGCATATTCATAATAACATGGCGCATTTTCTATACAATGTATATTCAGAAGACATTGACAACATAAAATCATAGAACCTTTCCAACTGTCTTTGTGAGAATATTATTTAACCCTTTCATATTTTATTATACTCTGTTATATCCTAAGATTTAAGTAATTATATGTTTCGGCATTTTCTCTCCAAGTTGTCCCTAGGCGTTTTCCCCTGAGCCAGGCCGGGTACAACAACACAACAAATAAGGTATATATGCACGAGAGAGATATCATGCCACAATATAAAATGATAAACATAAACATTCTATTTAGTGAGGTTTTTAAATACGTCTTTGCACATTATGTTAGTTGACGTTATACACTATATTCAACTGTGTCAGTTGTGATCTGATGCTAATTGTGAAACACTGACCAACTAGAGCTTCTTCTTCACAAGTGAAATCTACATCGAAACTTACTGTCAACGGAATCTACAGTGTATAACGACACAGTGCAATCGATGGGTTTAAAAGAGCATATTATACGATGAAAATGTGACACTTTGATGTATGAACTGATTTTAAGTCGATATGGAAGACTAGGTAGCGTACCAACAGCCGAGCTAGCTGTTAAGAGTGAGCTACGCTATATCCCCATCATTATAGCCATCTCATTATCGGCCATGAGATGGCTTAAAAACACTCTCATACACCCGGACCTTAATTAGTTACGCAGTTGTAAAGTATAATTTGTATAGGTGTCGCCAAGCATTGTTTAATATACATGAAATGAGATGCATTAGAAAGTGTTGCAGGGTGCTGTCAGGTGCTCAGAGTTCAAGAAGTCGGAGATGCGGGATTGCTTGGTGTGCGTAAGAACATTATGTGTACGGTGATTTGTTGTTAGTGATTGTTTACAAGGCGGGTTAGTTCTGCTTTGATAGAAATAACAGTCAGCATCCCTGCACAGTAGGGATGCCACTTAAGTACCAAGCCCATGAGAGACGAGTTTTACAGCAATGATTGTGGGCATGATGTGCCGCTGCTGTAGTAATTAATTAGCGGAAGCGACCAGCGTGTGGCCTGGTTTCAGACCGGTTACCCGGCTGTCAGGATATCAGACCGGTTTCATCATAACTGCAGCTATATAACCACGCCACTGACGTTTGTAACTTCAATGCTGATACGAGAACACTATTGGGACGATCAGTGACTTCATTGGGTAAGCGAATGTTTCTTATAATAATTCAGTATGTTTATTTTCGCGATGCATTATGTGCAAGAGTTTACAGTCGTAAAATGGTGCGTGATGTTTAGATAATAATAATTCCATATTCAGTGTAAACAGTTGAAATGCAAACATATAAGCAGGGCGCGTTTTTGTACTACACCAATACGCGGCGTTTAATACATTTATTCGTATTCTCTTTACTAATTTGCAGGAGAGCCTATATAGGACGTTAATTCTACAAGTGTGACGAAGCAGTCTACGAAGCAAAACACGTGGTCGTAACTTGTGCGGCAGACAGGGTATAGACACCTGAAGTGAGTGTGACCAGTACGTGGCAGCTTCCTATGAAGCACGATGGAGTACGTGAGAATTAATTCCGGGGAAAATCTATATGAGTGCAAACTGTGTGATGCTTCCTTCTCCTGTCTGAGTAGTGTGAAGATACACATGAGAAGTCATACGGGAGAGAAACCGTATAAGTGCAATCTGTGTGATGCTACCTTTGCACAATCGGGTCACCTGAAGACACACATGAGAACTCAC